TTTAAATAAATGGTCTACATCCTTGAAGGAATTCTTCATGAAGACTTCAATGGCCTCTTTCTCACTGGCCATGTGCAGGTCCAGGAGCTCTTGGAGGGTTTCTGTGGGCAGCTGAACCTTCTCACTCATCTGCTGGTCATAGTGGGCAATGGCCTTTTGCACTGCAGCCGAGTTCTCTATCTGGGCCAAGGCCAGGATGGCGTTCTCCATGCAGGGCAGGTCCCTACTGCTGATGGCACTGACATAGGTCATAACCAGAGTCTCCAGTCCTACAAATAGAGAACAAAAGATAATGTTTATTGCAGGTGGGGTGAGGAAACAGTCCATTCTCTATAAATCTGATGATATCTCTCAACACTCATTTGGCTCACAGCATCTATGTCCTCAGCATCACTCAGAAGTTTGCTAGAAGTGCAGACTCTCAGCCTCTGCTCCAGATCAACTGAATTAAATCCTCCTCTGCCAAGATCCTTGGGTGATATGGACATATCAAAGGATGAGAACAGCTGTTCTAGACACCATATGCCAGAAACCAATTCCAGCATGACAGCAGGGCTGAATCTGGGATTGGCTGATGGCATTTCCCCAAACCTGAATAGGATACATTAAATTGTTTGCTGCCAGGCAGCTCAGGGCACCCTAATCTACATGTTAATTCCTCCTACTGGCCAAACACCGGAACAGCTCTAGGCTAATTCCCCCAAATCTGACAATCCCTCTGTATACTAAATCCTGACCCTTTGAAGTATATATCTCTGCCTCATCTCAGGACAATTTTTGTTAATAAAAAGCATGGGGTCCTGAGACAAAGAGATCTTAGTTTCCTTCAAACTAGGCTCCTCTGACCCCCAAATGCCTTTCAAAATTATATTTCGTCTCTTGACTCCTATTTAATCTATGCACAGCCTTCTCCAGATTTCATGAATCCCTTTTTTAAACAAATATATTTTATTGATTTTTTACAGAGAGGAATGGAGAGGGAGAGAAATACAGAGTTAGAAACATCGATGAGAGAGAGACATCGATTCAGCTGCCTTTTGCACACCCCCTACCGGGGATGTGCCCACAACCCAGGTACATGCCCTTGACCGGAATCGAACCTGGGACCCTTCAGTCCACAGGCCAACACTCTATTCGCTGAGCCAAACCGGTTAGGGCATGAATCCTTCTTAATGCTGGGACAAGAACCCTGGCAACTATAGACCTGTGTTTATTGAGGTTTATTGAGTGCATGTGCTTTATCCCTAAACACCATTAGGATAGGAAATGTACCTCTCATTTATGTCTCTATCATCAGTTCTGGTCCATGGTAAGCATTTATAAAATCAATATTTGTGAAACAATTAAAAAGAAGTCCTCTGCCCTAACCAGGTGGCTCAGTTGGTTGGAGCATTGTCCCATGCACCAAAAAGTTGTGATTTTGATTCCTGGTCAGGGCACACACCTAGATTGTGGGTTTGATCCCCAGTTGGGGCACATGCGGGAAGCAACTGATTAATGTTTCTCTCTCACGTCGATGTTTCTCTCTCTTTCTAAAATTAATGGAAAAACATATTATGGGGTAAGGATTAAAAAACTCAAAATAAATTTAAAAAGGAGTCCTTAATTTTATTTATTCTAGCAGAACACTGTCCAAGAGATCTCTCCATGATGATAGTCTTCTGCTATATGTGCTATCCAATATTATAGCCACTATACATGTAATCAGAATTTTTTAATTCATTTAATTTTAATTAATCTGCATTCAATTTTAGATAAATGTAGCTACTACACTTTTCTAGTACCTATTATACGGGATAGTACAGGTACAGTGTATTAGGTCAATTTGAAGCAATAGAGTTTTTTTATTTGTCCTTTTCTATCTTTTCTCACCCACAAAATCTGACTAATAAAATCTATTAGAAATATTGTGTTATCTAGAATACACCACAGTAATCCTATATAATAAAAGGGTAATATGTATCTTCACCAAACCAGGGAAAGACCGGTTGCTATGACATCCACTGACCACCAGAGAGCAGACACTCAACGCAGGAGTTGCCCTCTGGTGGTCAGTGCGCTCCCACATGGGGAGTGCTGCTCAGTCAGAAGCCAAGCTCACGGCTGACAAGCACAGCAGCGGTGGGGCGGTGGCGGGAGCCTCTCCCTCCTGGACTGCCAGAGGGCACAGGCCGGCCTGAGGGAACTCCCTGAGTGCATGAATTTCATGCACCGGGCCTCTAAGAGTAGTAGATTTGCATTTTTCAAAGCTGAAACTAGGTGGATGCAATTCCACCTTCCTTTAATCTTTTAACAGTGAGAGTAATGACCGGGAAATGGACTCACGGGGTCCATTGACTTGGATGCCTCCTGAAAGAGTTGTGACTTTAGAATTGCTAAAGATGTAGGAACAGAAGTCAGCAGCTTGTTGCACGAATTCGGGGTCCAGCTCATCATCCTGCATTGTCTCAAGTTGGCCTAGTTTCTTCCGATGAGTGGGCCGATCAAAGACAAAACATTTCTTTTTTGGGAAGAACTTTCGGATACAAAGTCGGGGCAGGTTAAATTTTTCATTTTTAAGACTGGTACCTGGAGAAAGATAAAAATGGCTTTGCTTAATATAGGGGCTTGGAAACTTTTTCTGTTAACGGTCAAATAGTAAATATATTAGGCTTTGCAGGTCAGGTGGTTTCTTTTCCAAGTATTCAAATTCTGCTATTATAGCACGAAAGCAGCGTGGACAATCTACATAGTATTCATCCACTAAAACCTATTGTACGATAGCTGGCAGGCTGCATTGGCCATCATTTGACTGTGGGCCATAGTTTGCCAACCCCTACCCTAGTGCATTGCCATGCTTTAATCTATTTTCTTTAAATAAGTGCCCATTCTACTCCATATTCTTTGGCTAATTACAGCAATCCAAGCCCTAAGCAGGGAGATAAAATCAATCTGATCACAGTAAAGGGAAAAATGAAAGAAAAAGAAACTTGTTCTTAGAACAAGGGAGAAGATAATTCAAAATCAAATCTATGAATTTAGATATTAAACAAGCATTAATTTTTAGAACTAGGAAGCTGAGAAGTAGAAAACTATACATGTAAAAACACTAATAGAAAACTAAAAGATG